GTTTGTGAATACAAGATGCTACAGAAAGGTGAAACTCATGGGAACGCAATGGAATGACCTTTTCAAAATTTATCCCTGGGAGCTGTTGCTAGTGCTTCTCTTCCGAATCTTAGGGACTTCGCTAACTGCTTCAAATGTGCGCAGTAATGTGTAAGTAAAACTATCCTCAAATCAAAGCAGTGTAGAACTGGTCGTGCACATTTAATCTCACAGGATGATGAGAACACAGATATTAAGCACACAAATAAAAGGATACGAGTATTATGAAAGCTGTCTAAAATCAACGAGATCTTCATTGCCAGCTATTCTACATGAGAAATTTGCAGATGATAAGGACGCATTAAACCTTCCTTGACTGGCCTTGAAACATATTTTATTTAAAAAACGTAGTTAGCCATATTTCTGTAGGGCTTACCTTCCTAAAGCGTTTAAAATTCACGGATGAGTGATTGGAAGTAATTGATGCTGGAGTACGAGTGATATTTCGGCTTGGAGGACGTTCGATATCAGCGTAGCATACAAGATCGCCCTTAAGGGTGTAGCTCATAAGGTGATAAAATGAGCCAAGCCACTTACTAGTTTAGCAACCACACGTTCAATCTCAACTCCTTCCTCATTCTTAGCTTCTACTTCGTCTCCCAAGTTATCGTAGCGTTTTCCACTTGAAACCAACTTCAATATGTCGTACTGAAATGGACTGGAGCATGAAACAATCATTTATGGTTAGATGGTAAGTGAATTTACTAAATACAACAAAAACAATGCGGCTATCAACTAGCAGACCTTCCCTTGTTGTAGATGTTCATGCAGTTTATATGGTATTCGATGTTCACATAGAAAATAATGTTTTATTCGAAACAGGACTTCGCTCTGTTTGCTTTGATTCACAACCCACTATTCACTATTCACTCAGAACCATTGAAAAATGCACTAGAATGCTGCATATTCCAACTTCCAAAACTTTCTCAAACGGAAGAAAAGACTGACAAGTTCAAGTTTATGCAATCAAAAGGATTGAATGGCAAGTGCTAATTGTTCCTTTGAGAAAGCAAAAGAAGCAAGCTTGAATAACAACTTCCAGCATTGAAATGCATTCTCACCCCAACAAAAAGTGCATGATAGGGAAGACAACGCCAGTGACAAAGACATGACAGCAACTAGCAATCCATGGCATTTGAGATGAAATTGTTGAGGGGCTTGTATGTAGACAAAGACGAAACAAAAATAGCATTTTGCACTTCGTTATTCCCAAACCTAGCAAAGAAACGACTGGATTTGAGTTGATTTTTT